TCTTTTCAATTTCAGTTCTTAAATTCATCAATCAATCCTTTTATTTATGTGATAGGCCTGCATTTAAAATGAACATTTACCATAAATTAAAGGTATCTTATATTATTAGATATATTATTATAAAACATGTTTTAGTTAAGGAGTTATTGATACTTTAAGTGCAAAATGATCATATAAAACCTTGATAAAAATGCACTTTTAAGTACTAATCACTAGGAATTTTAGGTTAGGCGAACATATTAGACCTATATTATATGAACTTGGCTACTCACTAAGTCCATGCACTTTAAACTTGGTTGGCGCCAAGTGCATGTGCCTTGGTTCTAGCAAACATGTCAGATTCACGTTACTTTGGACTTAGCTAGTGTCAAATCTAGGCGCTTTGAGTCTTATATATTCAAGCCTAGGCATCGTGAGTCTAGCAAACATATTAGATCCAATAAACCAATCTACATTGCTTGCATGTGGCAAACATGTTAGACCTACATTTACTTGGGTCTGGCAAACATGTTACACCCATGTTAGTAGATAACATGTTATTTGCGCAACCTAGAATCTGACCACTATGGTGGCTATAAAAACAAGGTCCTTTGTTTTTTTCATCCAAAAACCTATTTTCATCCTATTTTTTACCCAAAACAGCTGCAAAACACCATAGAAACCTTATTATACCAATCTATGGCCACCAAAAAAACAAATAAACCACCCTAAAAACCTGAAATCCACCCAAAATAAAAATTATTCTCAAGCTCATCTTCTTTTTTTTTTTAAAATGGGCAACATAATTTTCTAAGAGGAGAGAGGGAGGGAGGGAAAAACCCCTAGTTGAAGCTCTTTTATGGGTCGCCTCAACATGCATGCCTAGCCATTATGCTTTGGATGGTAAGGTGCATTAAACATCGCTTTAGAAAGCAACATTTGGTTCTGTTTTGGGGTCGTATCACCACCCGAAAGGCAGGAGCAAAGTCCACTTGCTGGCTCATATTCAACACAAGTTAACCATTTTTGAATATAAATAATAATTTATATATTTACAAATACCTAATTACTCCTGAAGCCAACTAATATTTACAATAGAACCATATGTAAATGATGAAAACACCTCGACATACAGCCTTGTTTTTTATTAAAACCCAAAAGTAATTTCATCTTTATATTGTTTCAATAAAAGGAAAAGACATAAATTCCTTTCAACACATAAATTTTCCCCCCTCTAAGAGCATGATTGCATCTTTATTGTTTATTTCGTTTTGAAAAGACAAAAGAAGCCCCATTTTGAAGGTTAAAAATTTGTGCCCTAAAGGGCAAATCAATATTTATATTGTAGCCTAAAAAACCCAAACATATCATTTTATCCCTGATTATTCTTTCAATGTCAAATATAT